TGGAAGGTACGCGAGTATTTATAGTCAGGTTCAGAATGCTGAGGTCAGGTGGAGAATGCTGCATCTGATGATGTACCGAGTGGGGTTATAGAGTCTAAAATCTTGGGTAGCTTGGAAAGGAGATTGGATAAGTTTGTGAGCAGACCTTCTGCAGTGTTCTTCCATTCCTATGTTCTTATGTGGGATAGCGATGAAGAAGTTTCTTGGCAAGTGGTTCAGCTATGTAATAGAAGACATAATTCTGGTTGAAGTTGTCGGATATAGAAATAAGTGATGATTCCAGGATTCTTCGGTATTGAGTGTTGTCTTCTGTGGCGATAAGTCTTGAGTTTCTGTAGTTTATCAAGTGGTTGTGTGAATTACGGTGTTGTACACAGGCATTCCTTGTATCGTCAGACCTGCTTACGTATTGGTGTTCTGAAATACGTGTTTGGAGGTCCTTTGAAAACAGTGAAGTCCCAGTGTAGTAATATGAGTACTAGGAGAACTAGTAATAGGCAAAATTACGTGAATATTGGAAAGCCAGTGGCACTAATTGACAAGGACAGTAATAGGTTTAGTGGAATAACAGAAAGGAGCAGGAAGGTTAAAGAGAAAGGAGGGTCCATAAATATTTTTTTTTTATTAGCACACTGGCCGATTCCCACCAAGGCAGGGTGGCCCGAAAAAGAAAAACTTTCACCATCATTCACTCCATCGCTGTCTTGCCAGAAGGGTGCTTTACACTACAGTTTTTAAACTGCAACATTAACACCCCTCCTTCAGAGTGCAGGCACTGTACTTCCCATCTCCAGGACTCAAGTCCGGCCTGCCGGTTTTCCTGAATCCCTTCATAAATGTTACTTTGCTCACACTCCAACAGCACGTCAAGTGCAAAAATCCATTTGTCTCCATTCACTCCTATCAAACACGCTCACGCATGCCTGCTGGAAGTCCAAGCCCCTCGCACACAAAACCTCCTTTACCCCCTCCCTCCAACCTTTCCTAGGCCGACCCCTACCCAGCCTTCCTTCCACTACAGAATGATACACTCTTGAAGTCATTCTGTTTCGCTCCATTCTCTTTACATGTCCGAACCACCTAAACAATCCTTCCTCAGTCCTCTGGACAACAGTTTTGGTAATCCCGCACCTCCTCCTAACTTCCAATCTACGAATTCTCTGCATTATATTCACACCACACATTGCCCTCAGACATGACATCTCCACTGCTTCCAGCCTTCTCCTCGCTGCAATATTCATCACCCATGCTTCAAAACCATATAAGAGCGTTGGTAAAACTATACTCTCATACATTCCCCTCTTTGCCTCCAAGGACAAAGTTCTTTGTCTCCACAGACTCCTAAGTGCACCGCTCATCCTCACCCTTTTCCCATCATCAATTCTACGATTCACCTCATCTATCTATATCTATATTGAAATAACTGGAATCTTAACAGTACGCTGCATGTCAGTCCCTGGACTGGAATGTTAAGCTGTAGGGTGACAGAAATAAGTTTCTTACTGAATATTTATATATTATACTCATAATGTCGTCAACATAACGGAGCCAGGTGACAGACGAAGGAATAATGGTGGAGAAACGTTTGGCTTCTAGATGTTCCATGTATAGGTTCGCCAGGACCGCACTGAGTGGCGAACCCATGGGTAGTCCAAAAGTCTGCTGAAAGAGGTGATTTTCGAAAGAGAAACACGTAAAGCCAACACATAGTTCAACAAGGTTGATGAAATGGCTGGCTGGAATAGAAAGATCAAGTGAATCGTCAATTTTCCTGCGCAAGAGATCGATGGCTTATGTAGTAATTACTTTGGTGAATAGGGAAGTCACGTCAAGGCTGGATATGGGCCTCAGTGGGATACATTTCTTCAAAGGACTCGCCGCATTCTGAGTGGCTCAGAACAAGGGAAGAAACTTCTGCGCACCATGCCCAGCAACCCCAGACCTGCCAGAATGTACGGCCTGCCAAAAACTCACAAGCCTGGTATCCCACTGAGGCCCATATCCTCGGGAATAGGGAGTGCTCCCCACCAGCTCTCATGAATTCTCGCAAAACACCTCTCTAAACTCTTGGGCACTATCAGTCCAGCACATCTCAAACACTCGGGTGATCTTCTCAACCGCATTCGCAACATCAACATCAGGAACAAGAAGCTTTCCAGCCTTGACGTGACTTCCCTATTCACCAAAGTACCTACTACACAAGCCATCGATCTCTTGCGCAGGAAAATTGACGATTCACTTGATCTTTCTATTCCAGCCAGCCATTTCATCAACCTTGTTGAACTATGTGTTGGCTTTAAGTGTTTCTCTTTCGAAAATCACCTCTTTCAGCAGACTTTTGGACTACCCATGGGTTCGCCACTCAGTGCGGTCCTGGCGAACCTATACATGGAACATCTAGAAGCCAAACGTTTCTCCACCATTATTCCTTCGTCTGTCACCTGGCTCCGTTATGTTGACGACATTCTCCTCATAACTCCTAGACGCTTCAACGTTCAAGCTCTCCAAGACAAGCTCAACCAGGTCGAGCCTTCAATCCAGTTCACACTTGAAGAAGAAGTCGACAACACTCTTCCTTTCCTTGATGTTCTTCTCTGCAAAGCTGACCACGAACTTCGTTTTAAAGTCTATCGAAAACCCACCAACAAAAACGATCTTCTCCACTTCTACTCTCACCACGACACCAAAACTAAATGTGGTGTAATTATAGGCTTCTTCCTGCGTGCATTCAGAATCTGCAGCAATGAGTTTCTTGAGGAAGAATGCACTATAATTGAACAAATATTTTCTAAACTCCACTATCTTCGTCACTTCATCAGAGACTGCAGACGACGGGCATTAAACATCTTCAACACAACCAGAGAAGACACTGCCGAGAAGAGATACATAGTCCTCCCCACCAACTCCATTGCCAAACACGTTTCCAGCATCTTTTCCAACACCTCATTCCAAGTATCTACCTCCACAACCACGACCATCAAGGACATTACCAGTGATAGACAGGACAAGCTTCCACCCTCTGCAGGGGTATACATAATCCCTTGTAATGACTGCAACAAATTATACGTGGGCGAAACATCAAGGGACCTCCAAACACGTATTTCAGAACACCAATACGCAAGCAGGTCTGACGATACAAGGAATGCCTGTGTACAACACCGTAATTCACACAACCATTTGATAAACTACAGAAACTCAAGACTTATCGCCACAGAAGACAACACTCAATACCGAAGAATCCTGGAATCATCACTTATTTCTATATCCGACAACTTCAACCAGAATAGTGGCTTCTATAACATAGCTGAACCACTTGCCAAGAAACTTCTTCATCACCTCAGCACTCTGAACCTGACTATAAATACTCACATACCTTCCACCCCAGGTAGATCTGTTTGTGACTTGAAAAAGCCCACTGTGTGGGCGAAACGTTGTCAATAAAGGATCACATTATAATGCATATGTGTTTATATTTCCATTGTGTCGGTATTTTATACCATTTATTTCCGGTTTACTCTATCTTGATGGGAAGAATAATACAGTACATAGGAACAGTTATTTGTAGGTTTTCTGTAAATTTTAAATTTGAATTCATTATTACTCTTAATAATTAAAACATCTAGATGATTTATTAAGTTGATGATTTATTAAGTTTCTTATCTAAGGAACTCGTTAATTATGATTTACCATTGCCAGTTCGTACCATCATTAAACTTATTAAACTTTGCATTGTTGATGCAAAATTTGTATTTAATGATAAGTTTTACACTCAGAAATTTGGTATGGCAATGGGAAATCCTTTCACCTGTTCTTAGTAATCTATACATGGAATTTTTTGAAACAAGATTGCTTAACACAATCCTCCCTAATAGAGCAAAATGGTTCAGATATGTTGATGATATTTTATGTCTTATGCCCAAGAATGTAGATATACACCATTTCCTTGGCAAATTAAATAGCTTAGCCCACTCTATAAACTTTACTGTTGAGTTTAAGGAAAATAACTCATTGCCTTTCCTAGATGTTTTAATTATTAAGGGTAATAATGAATTCAAATTTAAAATTTACAGAAAACCTACAAATAACTGTTCCTATGTACACTATTATTCTGCCCATCAAGAAAGAGTTAAACTGTCTGTTTTCTCATCAATGTTTCTGAGAGCTTTACGTATTTGTAGTCCAGAGTTCATAGATGAAGAAATATCCAAAATTTATGAAATAGCCATTGATATGAAATACCCGAGAAATGTAATTGATAAATCATTTAAAATTGCAGAAATACTTTTTGCAACCCAAAAAGGGACAACCAACCTTATTCAACTAAAAATATGTTGGTTCTCCCTTACCATGAAAACTTGGTTGATATGCCTTCTCTTCTTAAGACTAAATATTAAAGTTGTATTTAAAATCTTGATACAGTAAAAAAACATTTGATAAAGAATTCCCCCCAAAATGCTGACGGATGTGTCTATAAGATTCCTTGTAAAATTTGCGATAAAGTTTATTACGGTCAAACTGGTAAAAGTTTCGAACTTAGATTAAAACAACATAAATATAGCATTAGAACTGGACAAGATTCCAATGCTCTGTTTATTCATATGAGATATTTTAATCATCCAATTGATTTTCAAAAAGTTGAGAAAGTTGTATCAAGCAAGTTCATGGTTGACAAAAATATAATTGAATCTTGTTTCATAAAAAGCAGTTTTAAAAATAATATGAATGTTTCCTTAGGTTTATATAAATTAGACTCATTTATAATTAATAAAATTTAGTTAGAGTTTAATAATACATTGGACAAATAAAAAACCTTATTTTTTTGGTAGAATATTTTGTTAGTGGGATGTCGTGAGGACCTGTCTAGTTGGACCAGCGGACCTACTGCAGTGTTCCTCTTTTCTTATGAGTCCGGTATTGTCGCACGTCAGGTGCTTCTTTGTTGTGGGGGTTGACTGTGAGGTGTAGTCTAAGCCCTTTAATTGCCTTCCTTTGATGTATTACTTTGATAGTTCCTTGACAATGTGAGTAGTCAATTGATTTTCAAAAAGTTGAGAAAGTAGTATCAAGCAAGTCCATGGTCGACAGGAATATAATTGAATCTTGTTTCATAAAAAGCAGTTTTGACAATAATATGAATATTTCCTTTGGTTTATATAAATTAGATCCATTTATAATTAATAGAATTTGGGAAGAATTTAATAATACACTGGACAAATAATAATTTTAAAAAATTTCTTGGGTAGAATAGTTTGTTGGTGGTTGTGCAAAGGACCTGTCCAGTTGGGCCGGCGCGCGTCAGGTGTTTAACCGTTGTGGGATCTGATAGTGAGGTGTTGGCCAGACCCCCTTATATACCTTCCTTGAATGCTTTACTTTCATAGTTCCTTGATAATGTGAGTAGTCACGAAAGCGCTTGGAATTTCTCTATTCTTTCAGAGTGGTTGTCTTGCATATATATATATATAATATATATATATATATATATATATATATATATATATATATATATATATATATATATAATATATATATATATATATATATATACATATATATATATATATATATATATATATATATATATATATATATATTTATATATATATATATATATATATATATATATATATATATATATATATATAATATATTATATTATAATATATATATCAACTGGTACTACCTCTTTGGATCGCAATAATGAGGCGCCGAATCAAATAACTGGCTATTTTGGGAACCTTGATTTCCCTAGCGACGTTGTTACATAACGCCTTCAGTAATTTGAGTATACATTTTCCTCAGAAATTGACTATCAATTTTCCTATGGGGATGAAAGGGTACTGACGAGCATGGATCCTGCATTGTCTATACATCTGTAACTCCCAGAAGCTAACAACTGCCTTTCTTTCTCCTTCGCTCTAAGAGAGTTAAGTTTAAGTCAAAGCTGAGCCATCTGCTCAGGGTAGCATGGTGACTCCTGCAATCAGATGACATAAAGAACAAAAAGGCACAATACCGTGACAGAAATACACAAATAACCAACACATAGGAGAAAGAAATTTATGACGACGTTTCGGTCCAACTCGGACCATTAACTAATCACACACTAATACACGAAGGTAAGGAGGCCAGTATATATATACGAGAGAAAGGCAGGTACGGGACATAGGAGGAGGAAGAAAGAAGTAGAGATAGTAGTGGTAGAGCTTGGGGGTTTCATTTGTGTTGGGCAGCGGGCTGAAGCAGGATATTTCTCTCTGATCTATAAGTTTATCCAGTAAAATCAGGTCACCCGACGCACTGTCTCAGATATCCCTGTTTTCCTTGCAGAAAGAGGCAGCAAAGTAGTTTCTTTATGGCAAATATTGTGAATGTTCTTTTTTTTTAACATTTTAGTAAAATATTGTATCACTAAGAACTACTGGGACAAGTATTCAACAGAAATGGTAAGGGCATACTAAATGTAAGGCTAAGTTTCTAAAATTTACGTCTCCTCTTATTTTCATAAGATATAAATAAATTACAAACAATCCTGCCAGAGTGGAAAACATATGCTTCCCTTACTTTTCACTTAACAGGACGGTAGTATCTACCAGGGTGGTCGCTGCTTACCAACGATAAAAACTTAAGTGTTTATGAAGCTGAGATACACCCAACACGAAACACCTACAAAACGCGAAGCCATAAAAAAATAGGACCTCAAAATTACATAGAAGAATGTTAAGAACGGGAACGCTCTGTAGGAATGACCGCCCCTCTGTCTCTCCCTGAGGGAACAAACGTCCCTGTCTCTTCCTGCAAGCACGACCACCCCTCTCTGTCTACCTCCAGGAACGACGGCCCCTCTCAGTCTCTCCCTGTGGGAACGACCGCCTCTCTCTCTGTCAGTCTGTCTGTGTCTCCTTTCTCTCTCCCTCTCTTCTTCTCTGACTGCCCTCCTCTTTCATATACCATGAGAATGCGATTTACAGTGCTGTTTACAGCCAGCCTTTGCAATAAACTCTTCAGCCACAATTAAAGACCTGAGAACCCGAGTTGGTACTACGAAATATTTATGTCAATGTTACACATTGTTTTGGCTGTAATAGTGAGACGCACACACACTCACCTGGGCCCTGTCGTACATTACCCTAGACACACACACACACACACGCACACACACATACACACACACACACACACACACACACACACAACACACACACACACACACACACACACACACACACACACACACACACACACACACACACACACACGCGTGTAAGGGGAACAGGGAAGGTGGGGCGTGTGAGGGGTGAGGTAGAGGTCGTGTGGCGTAGATCAATAACATGATGACTGTCGTGTTGTAGTGGTAAGTCTTCCTCGTTCCCAGGAGATCGAGAGAGCGCTCGGTTTTAGAACACTGATGTTTCGTGAGTACTTCAAAGAAATAATAAGAACTATTTTTTTTGGTTTCAGTGGGCTGAGCAAAATTTCGGACTATTAATATCTGTTGACACATTCTTAAGTTCAGCCGGTATAGTTGTGCACTTGTAATCGTATGATATGAGATTTTCATTTAATTTTAATGACAAAATGATTTCTGATGCAGCCCAAAAGAGCTGCTCAACTGCTCTAAATTTAGAAAATTTCTGAAACTAATTAATTCAAAATCCTATAAATATAAAAGGTATTGCAATATTTGGCGTTATATTTTTATAAAAAAGCAAAAATGGATGAAACCTTTAAAACTGCAAGTGTTAATGAGCAAAAGGAAAAAAAATAATGTATTTATTAGGCCATTTTGATAAGTGATGGATGCTCGAACTCTGTCAAATTCCGTAACAGAGCCTTTGGGGTTTCAAGTCTGTCAAAATGAACCGCAGAAAAGCTCAACCGCTATAGATATTTGACTAATCTCATATTCATTTTTGAACAAAATGACGATGTACAAAGAAACTGTTTAAATAAACATAAAGTAAAATAAACATCGAAGAATTTTAAATTCAAAGAGCAAGATGAACTGAAAATGTACTTTACATTTTGCAGTCAGTAAAAGCCTAGACTAAAACAAAATACAAAGGGGAAAATTCGGCCGAATGGAATATGTATTTCGCTTTCTGTAAGTCATATCTGTATTGGAGGTCTCCTGAATAAGCCTAGCATCCATCCATATGCAGGTTAGTACACGTACACACACACACACACACACACACACACACACACACACACACACACTCAAATAATTGTGGATATATTCAACTCACGTTAGGCCCATCCTGGAGTATGCAGTGCCAGTTAAATTCACAGTTGCTTAAGAACTCAAGGAAACTTTGAAAGATCCGAATGATGGCGTGCAACGGACAAGTGAAGTAGCAGCAGCAGCAACACAGCAAGAGGCATTCTTGAGTTTCCCCAGCGCTCGGACTTCGGCCCAAAGCTGGGGTGTAGTTCCAAAA